GTATATATATATATATATATATATATATATATATATATATATATGAAAATGATTTTCAAGGTGGGATACCCATTAGGTGAGAGCAGATGAACATTTGGGTCAATTTATTTCTTTTGGGGAAAATAGTCCTCATTGGTTTCAAGGACATTTGAAAAGCAGAGTTGGCCCTAGGTGCCCCAAAAGTTTGATAGGGAAAATTGCTTTCCCAGCCCTGGAAAGCTGGGGTGGGGTCTGGTTTGGTCTGAGACCTTGGGTATCCTTCCCTTTGAACTGGGACTTCTCTTGGAATCCTTAGGACAGTATTTCTCTGATTTGGAAATGGAGAAACATTTGAAACATTCAAAATGCTTCAATCCCTGAGTGTCGCAACTGGCTTCTGCAACTAGGGATGCCTTCATGAGACAGATTGTTCAGGCTGATTTAGAACGCATTTCTGGAGATGTGGGAAGCAAGTATGGGCTTGTGCCACCATGATGGTCCCTGTTCTCATCCCAGTGGACTATATTCTCTGAAATCATGGTTGGTCCAATGTGATCTGTGGTCTCTCCTTCTGTAGGTAGAGCTCACTTTTCCTTCAGGACACCTGCTCTTCTCAGTAGACCTACCCCGTTAGGCCCTGGCCTTTATGTGTAGTCTACCTTGTTGAGGGGAATCACATTGTAGGTATCTGTGTGCCTATATTAATAAGATCGACCATTTACTTGAGTTGGACGGTTACAGGGACGTTTCTGTCCCTCAAATCCCAGTAAGCATGTGAATCAGGGGCTTGAGGTACTATGAGATTGAGTTTGAAATATTTCCTGATCAACCTGATCTAGTACTTAATTGTCAGCCTTTAGCGTTCTTTGAGAAATGGACACTGATGTGGTATTTTCTTGGATAACAAAAGTGGGATCTCTTATTAGGTCAGGGTTTTTCTGTCAGGCACATGAGATAAAGGCTTAGCACAGAAACACTGGCTATAAAAAGCAAAAATAGGGCACTTTGGCACAGGTGGGCGTGAGTGCTTTCAGAGTTGTAATAGGACACCCCAGCATGCTCCCGCCGCAAGGAAAAGGTGTGTAGAAATTCAGGTATGACCGGGCCGATGGGATTTCTTGTCAGGATCTTGCAAAATGGAAAAGTCGCCGGAAGAGTTACAATTCAGATCTACAGAAGAAGAAGGAGGAGAGGGAAGAGATCGAAAAGCAGGCCCTGGAGAAGTCTGACCGAAGCTCCAAGACATTTAGGGAAATGCTGCAGGACAGGTAAAGGGCCGGGGTCCCTAGGGTTTGGAGATCTCAGTGTCAGAAATGGAAGCTCTGCATGGGGTGGGGTATGTGGTCATTAGCTGCAAACTGTAAACACTTATGGACCGAAGCAGCCAGGGCTTCAGGCTGAAGCACTGAGACAATATTACTGATCTGGGCAGCAAATGAAAATATTACTTAGCACTGGCAAGCAGGGCTCTTTGTCTTACACTGTATGCTCTTCTTTAGAAGGGGGGTTATTTGCTATAGTTGATAGCAAAACAAACAAAAATAAATAAAAACCCCAAACCCACTGATTTTTCTCCTTTTAAAGTTTAAGCATAGGGTAGTCAAATAAAATCCACTTTTACTTTTAAATAAATTTTATGAAATCTAAGAGAGATGTTTGTTCAATGTTAGTGGTAGAGAATAAATTATGTTTAAAGGAAGTCCATGTAAGTGTGGATGTGTGGGTTTATTCTTTGAGTTGAAATGGCAGGAGGAAAGTGAAATTTAAACTTTCATGTGAGCAGTTAACTGTGTGGACCTGGAGGAGAGGGATAGATCGAAGAGAGAGCAAATATGCTTTCGAAATAATGTCACAAAGGAAATTTGCTGGTAGGTGAAATTAAACAAAGCTCCGTTGTGTCTGAAATGCCAGTCCTCAAGACTTTCACTCCCTTAAGTACAGCAGTTAGCCAGGGATGTGGGGACTCCCCACTAACTGCAGGATGAAGCTGTCTCATCAGCTCTTTAAGTATGGATAAGAACCTTGAATCTATTATGATTGCCCTTGGGGATTCTGTCAAGCTCCATGAACTGACTGGTGCTCTATAAAGGCCTGAGTCTTCTGTGCCATTATCTTAACCAATACATTATACATTTTATGTAGCAAAGCTTGACAGACTCAGATCAGTGGCCAGCCACTTAAAGCATTTTGATCTTGGGAGACATAAATTTGTGGCTAAGAACCTGCAAATACTCTCATGTGAGACCTTCCTTGTTTTGTTATTAAAATAGTTTATGATTAAAAATATCCTTTGATAGCCTCTTTAATCAAAGGTCGGGTCAGTCTCTTAACAAATGCTTAAAAGCTACGCATAATCTCATGTTAGTGTTGTGTCGATTCTTGTTTTCTGTGAGTAGCAACTTACAGATCAGTTATTGTCTTACCCCATCTGGGGGCAAACGCATAATTCTGTCGTAATGGCGCATTTTTCTCTGATCAGGGAATCTCGAGTTCTGAATTCTACCAGGAGGATGTATTCTGCCGATGACGCCCTGGATGATGAAGTACTTCTTCCTACAGTGACTCTGTCTGAAACCAGCTACCAGAGAGAGAGACTGGGAGACCAGGCAACAGTTTATCCTGCCGAGACGGCCAAAGAAGACTCCACATTTGCAAAGAGACAGGACAGTGTAGCAGCTGAGATTCAGCTTCCTTCTCATATTCCTGAAGAGCAAAGGCCGGACCCTTTATCTGCTGTGGAACCACACCAGGCCCCTTTGTCTTCTGCAGAACCACATCAGGCCTCCTTGTATTCTGCAGAACCGCACCAGGGCCCTTTGTCTTCTGCAGAACCGCTCCAGGGCCCCTTGTCTTCTGAGGAACCACACCTGGGCCCCTTGTCTTCTGCAGAGCCTCACCAGGCCCCCTTGTCTTCTGCAGAACCGCACCAGGGCCCTTTGTCTTCTGCAGAACCGCACCAGGTCTCTTTATCTTCAGTAGCACAGCGTCCAGTCTCTCTCTCGTTTCAGCAGTCGCTGAGTACAAGAGGAGAGTCGACTCGGATTTCAGCTTCTCTCCCTAGAAGTTACCAGAAAGCCGATACAGCCAGGTTAACATCTGTGGTCACAGCGAGACCTTTTGGCACGCAGTCAAGGGGAATCTCATCACTGCCCAGATCCTACACGGTAAAAATGTCCCAGGTTTCTTTAGTCTGTTCCCAAGAGCAGTGAGTTGGGGAGCTCAAGCAGAAGCTCAGTTGGACAGATACAGGATGTGTAAAATGTTGTTGACGTATATAAACAACTTTCATGAAATTTAAATTTAATAAAAATATGGGTTTTTAAACTTTAAAGAACAAATAAGATACGTTTTGAGACAGAACATTTTTTTCTTGCCATATTTTTGCCTTCTTTTGAGCTCTTCTCAACTTTAGATTGAACATTATGAAATTGCCAGCGGTCAGCTCTTTCCTAACCTATGATATAGCACATTTTTAAGGCTCCCCTTAAATGTTTTTAGGATTGTATAGGTAAGGTTTTGTTTTATCCTTCCTTCTGACTTTAGAACTTGATGCCTTAGTCTATGTTTGTTGAAATATGTCCACTTGTGTCTCTAATGGGATTCAGCACATATGGGACATGTTAGACTCAATTGTGTAAATGAAACAATGTCTGAATATTTAATGTTTATGTTACTGTCAGTTCTGTCCACCTAGCCCTTAAGATCTTAAAATCTTGACATATAAATGGGAATTATGGTGTAAGAAATCAGTATTCAAGCTAAAGCAAGCCTGTCTAAATCAGCCAGGAAACCCCTGACCATCCTATTAAGGAAAGTATAGACCTATTTGACAACATAAAAAAATAAACTTGTTTAAGTCACAGTTATTATTAAACTGCATTGTAGATAAAGGGTTGGCAATTCTAAGGTGCAAAGTACTTTTATAATTTGATGAGAGGAGATAAACACAGCAAAGGAGCTGGCCAAATCAACAGAAAGGAATGTAAGGAGATTACAAAGAGGCGTATGTAGCCTTGTGAGCCTGAGGATTAGGTAAACAACTGCTCAGCCATCTCATGACAAGTATTTTAAATGCTGAAACTGTACATTGTTGAGGAGGTGGAGATGCAGGTGTTCTGCTCATAAGCACAGGGCTGTCGTTTTCTCTGTAGAAATAAGACAGATACGACATATACATATCCTCTGGCCCAGTGAGTTCTTTGGAACATCTGAGCTCTCAATAGGTGCTTTTGGGAAGTGAAGGACAGCTTTTAACAATTTCATGATGTTTCATATATGAATTTTTATATGAATTTCATATTTATTCATATATGAATAAATAATTGACATCCACACTGTGGGGTTTCCAGCCATGGAAAGACCGAGCTTGGAGTTGTGTCTGTTGACCTGGCGTGGTATGAACAACCAAAGCAAGTCTTAGAAAACTATATGTAATCATGCTTTTATTAGAAAAAAGTGTTTCTCTGCTGGTGCGTACTTGGAGGTGTGAAGGAATGCACTCCAAGCTTTTGACAATAGTTACTTCTCTGTGGCAGGTGGATGTTATTTCAGCAGCTTTCAAATATGAAAGCTGTTTTTAAAAGTGAACCCAAGGCTAGCAGAACATGGGGTTTAAAATGGTGTTTCCTATCTAGATGGATGACGGCTGGAAGTACAAGGGCGGTGTTGAGGTTGTCAAGAGAGCTCAACAGAATTTGGTCAAAGTCCCTGCCCCGACGCTTGACTCCACCCAGTTTGTTTCGGTTTCATCCAGTGAGAAGGAGGCAGTCGCAGGAGAAGATGTGGCAAGCCTGTCCTCTTCCACACCCTTTTCTTCGCTCTCGCAAGGCCAGGAAGCCACTTCAAAAGCCACACACTCTGGAGAAGGGGGAAGCTCATCACTGAGGGATATTTCAAGGTCCCAGGTAAGTTTGGGAGGGTTCTTAGTCATCTGTGTCAGATACGCAATGATTTCAATCTGGAAACTGTTGTTCTAGCCTCTGGCTCGTACAGTACAGGCTGCTATTTATATTATGCAAAAATATACTGGTCTATTTTTAACAGATTGTGGAGGAAGTAGATCTTTCCAACTTTTAGTCTGTAGATCTCAGACATCCTCCATGAGCTGGGTCTCAGGAGACGTGGTCCATCAGTCTCCTGGGACGTTTGCCTGTAGGGTTTTTTTTTTTTTTTATTACTCCACAGTTCTGTGGTTTCTTCTGCAGATCTAATGTATGTGTGAGTAAGCAAAAGCCCAACTCCGTGGAAATTAACCAGGTGCAGGAAGAAATTGTCCTATTGAGTGGATGCTTGTCTCTAGGGACTGTCTGTTTTCTTTTAATCTTCTTGTGACTTTTCATAGTGATTTCTACTTTCGAATGGGCACATTTGCGGTCATCCCTTGTCTCTTAGTGAGAACAATGACACTAGTCACAGTCTGACAACTGCGGATCTGAACATCTGGACTCCAAATAAAATACACCAGCAGATTAGAAACGAATGGGAGTATTTGTCATTTTCCCATTTAAAAGCCTAACAGATGGAGTCCAAGAGAATCATTAGGTGATATACCTTCTTTCCGTTTACATGCTAAACCCACTAAAAGTCTTTGTCAAGCTAGCAAAGCTTCTTTAAAAAACCAAAAGCCAGCAACACTCTGGTTAAGCAACTTGCTAGTGTAAGCCCTTCTCATGGAGGCGTTTTTGGACTTTGACTTGGTCCATAATTCCCTGTTGTCTTACTGGAGCATAGTTTTCCAGGGCAAAAGATCAACTATGTCTCTTAAATACGTGAACGAAATAGATTTATATAAAATAGTTTGACATAGCATATTTATTTAACTTTATTAATTTTTTAATTATATAAGAATATTTTTAAAAATTTCAACCCTCCCTTCCAGGCTATAAGACACTTTCTTTGTATCTGAGAAATACAAGGAAAAAAATCCTTTGTATTTTTTTGAGAAATATAAATATATAATTTAGAAATAACTAATGTTAGCACTTAGTAACTTTAAGTTTTGATTTTATTTGGTAGTGGTGTTTTCTAGTTCTTGTTTCTTTTCTGTTTTATAAAAAGTTTTTCTATACATATTTACAAATATACTTTAAAATAAGTTTACAGCTTGCAAAAATATTATAAAATATTGCTACATTTAAAAAGAATTGGGAATATATGGTCATCATTCTGGGTCTCAGTAAATGAGAACAGTACCTCCCTACTATACTTGGGGAAGGTAAGGTACCAATGGATGAATAATGAAAGTAGAGGCAAGAGGTCTTCTGTTCTATGGATATGTACATTGCCTTCCCCCTTTCAAAGAACAAACTCAACAAAAAGGCTTGGTGAATGTGCTGCCTGCAAGATGATGGGACCTCCTTCCGGGTGGCAGCTGGCACACTGTACCCATGGATTAAGAAAAAGAGGCCATGTGTGGAGTGGGGGTGTGTCTTATACTCTGGCAATTTCAAGAAGCCCAAATTAACCTGGCCTTGTTTCAGATTTCATCATAGTAGATTTCTGCTGTTTTCATCAAGTTTGAAGTACCATTCTACAAGGGAAGATTCGACTTCTTTTAACCATTGGAGCTAGTGGAATTCTTGAGCACTGTTGTACTTCCGATGGTGCCTTGCCGGTTTCTATTTGGCCTATCCGTTTATCTGCTCCCAGAAGAGTAGTTTATGGAGCTGACTCCAGAGAGGCTGTGGATGCATAACAGCTGATGAGTGAGATACACCGGGTCCTTCTGTGTCACTCTTCCAAATTCTTGATCAAGCTCTATATCTCTAGATAGTCATAGAAAACAAACATACCACAAGTGGCTGAATTTTTAGATGCTCTGGTAGCTTTGTAAAAGAATGCTCCTTCAGGCTTTCCCTTCACGCCCCTGTGCTTCGGCGGCGAGTGGCCTTGCATTTCTTCTTTCAAGAACTCCTATTACTGTTATCCTTTTTCATGTCTGTTGTCAATATTGTCATCCAGGTCATTTTTCTGTCAATGTAAGTGATTAAAAATAGCCACAGGTGCTTGTACACAGGACTCATTAATTCCTGTGTTTTCTGGAGTCTCCCAAAGCATTTTGTCCTTTAGGGAAGTTCAGGATACTCTGTGGAGTGCTGAGGTTCCTCATGAGTGAGTTCAGATTCCCTTGATCTTACCTCAATACGAACTGATGTTCTGTGAGTGCATACCATAGACAAGACAGACTTTTCAGAGTATTGTATGAGAGAATTCTTACCACAGCCCTGTGATGTCATCACCATCATTATTATTCTTACACACAGACAATTGAAAGCATGGATGCTCACCCTCCTTTTCCGAGACCATCCAGAGCACTAAGTGATGGAGTTAGGAGCCAAACTCAGGAAATTTTTACCAAGTATTGACTACCTCTTACAACATCAAGGGAAAGAACGGTGCCTGAACTTCCTAAGAAAGCCAAGTTTGCCATCACATGTTAGTTATTATTACTCTTCATATTATTACTCTTCATTTGAAGATGTTCCCTCTGCTTATCACTCTGCTTACTGCCTTTCAAGTCCTTCAAAGCCAGGCAAAACCACTTCTTTCATGGTCCATGTATTGCATCCTCCTGGTTGGAAGTGAATCGATTCTTGGAAGTTTCACTCACCAACTTCCTCCTTGTTGCAAATATCCATTCCTACCCATTGGACACTATAACCCACAAGACTCACTCTGCCATCCAAATCCTTGTTCTGCTTTAATACCACGCCTTTTTGTGTTACACCTCCGATGAAGTATGAAGGTGGGAAGCAAGATGATCTTTTGCCTGTTAGCCCAGGACCTGGATATGGCTGTGACTTCTTGGCTTTAAACTAAGTTTATGCACATTAAATAGGATTTTATTTAATTCATCTGGAAACTGCTTAATCAGCATGTATATCATGTTTAATGTAGTGTCTATGGGAAACAAAGAAAGTAAATCTGGAGCGTCAGCCGCAGGCATTGGCACCTTTTAAGTGTTTGATTTAATCCTCTCAGTCACATTGAAAGTAGGTGCTATTGTCTCCACTGTTACTGGTGACATACTCGAAAGTTCAGTAATGTGTCTTGCCCCAGGCTGGTGAAATACATAGCCCTTACTCTATTTTCTCATACTCTAACCACTAATCATGAGAGATTCCTCCTCCTCCTCCATTATGGCATGCTCAAAGTTGAGGATTGCCTTATATAATTAGGACACTGGTCGTAGCTAGAAATATTCTCTGTCCTACTGATCCCCCTGGACTGGTTTTTCTCCACACACCTGTTCCCAAAGCAGTTTATGAAATAACCACTCTGAGGCTTATTATCAGTTATAATTGTTTGGCCAATGTCTTAGATTTCTTACTAGCTAGCTCTAACTATTAAATTAACTCGTTTCTATTAATCTGTGTATTACCATGAGGCTATGGTTTACCAGTGTGTCGTGTTACTCCTTCAGTGGTTACAAAGTGTCTCCTCAACTCTGCCTATTCTCTCTCTCTCTCTCTCTCTCTCTCTCTCTCTCTCTCTCTCTCTCTGTTTGTCTCTCTCTCTATCTCTGTTTGGATTTCCTGCCTGACTTTACTCTGCTAAGCCACTGGCTAAAATAGCTGTATTCACAAGTCAATAAAAGCCACACATATACAGAAGGGAATCCCACATCATCTGCAGTTTTTTGTCTAAATAAAAAGAAAGGTTTTAACTTTGACATAGTAAAATTACATATAACAAAACAGGTATCAAGCAAGGATTACAGTTACAATATTTAGTCTATTTGTACTTGGCAAAAATTAAAGAAAATATTCTGTCATCTCTCCTATCTTTGTGAGTCTAAAGTTTTATATCTAATTTATCTTTTATATAGCTAAGGAAAACTATAACTATATGTTTTCAACTCCATCAAAGACCCCAGAAGAATTTAATATTACCTAAGTCAACAGAAAGTGCATTGTAAGCAACTTCCAAAACTCTAGAATTGACAGAGATATTCCATTGCCAGGACGGTTCTTTTGAAATGTTGGGGCATCCACCTTTAGCCAACAGGCCCATAGTATCTGGCAGACTTTTATATAAAGGAGGAAATTTGAAAGGATGTCTCACCTATATTGGTAGCTTTTTATTCACTTTCTTCTGTGTCCTGCAGAATGTCTGGCAGTTTCTTTGGTGGAGCAGGAACCCTGAAGGACCATCCCATCTTTTGCTAATTTTAACAGTTACTTTTCTGTAGGTCCTGTGTGTCCAGTTCATACATATTATTAAGCAGTCCAGGCAAGAGCAGTTTCTTGTCTAAATAGCTAGCAAATTCCATAAGGAGCCTCTTCGATGCCCATTATCCTGTTGAAGTAAATTGGTGCTGGCAGAACCAGACATAGCTCACTGTGGAGGAAAGTCTAAGTTCTTAAAGCATTTCCAGTGCCATATTGTGTAGGTCTTTGAAGTCTTTGAAGTTTACCAATCCATTTGAAATATATCTCTGTATATCTGAAAAAACTAACATGACTATAAGTTTGACTTATATTAGAAATTTCTAATATATTATATTAGAAATGACTATTTATTAATCTGTATTTTTAACTATACTTTACATTTTAAAATGAGCTATATAAACATAATATCTTAAGCAAGAATAGAAATATACATTTAACAAAATTGACCATAGATTTGAATTAATAAACCAAAGTCTACACAAATGTAAAGTATTCATTTCTATATCATATCCCTTTTTTCTTTAGAAAGTTATTGAATGTGACCATTAACCATTTATAATCAGCCTGCTTTAAATGAAAACAAACATAAACAATCATTTTGAGAATTTGGGCATAGTTTTCTCCAAACCATTCCTGTTATTTATTGGGTGAAGTATTTTTAGGATTTGTGGGGACCCCAGGGACTCTTGTTTCACAAAACCAGATTAACCTGGAAGAAATCTACAGATTCCCAT